CATATTCTCAAGGTCTGGTGTCTGGTACAACAGACTTGATTCCTCCCTCCGCGCCCAGGTGGCTGACCTTGGGACGAAAGGCTCCCCATTGGGGGGGCGTGGGGGTGGGGGAAGTGGAGGCCGGCGGGGGCAGGGACAGCGGGATGAGGGGGAAGCAGGGCGGCTCCGCCCTTGGCCTTGGAGGTGGCTCCCTGCTCGCAGCTCACAGCTCCCGGACAAGCATCGCCCGAGCTGCACTCTCCAGCCCCTGGCCACATCCTAGCCCTGCCCTGCTCAGTCCCCGCCTTGCTGCCCGAGGTCAACTGCTCTTCCCAGCCCATCCCGGCTGCTCCAGAGAGAACACCCAGCATCGGCATAGGCGGGGGGAGACAGAGAGGCAGCGGGCCTTTCAGTGGGACAATGTCCTTCAGAGCAGTGTTCATGAAAAGACATAGAAGAACATTGCAGAACTATTGAGGAAGTCTTGGACAGGTTGATGTCTCCTTGCACCAAAACTGCCCTATGCATATTTGTATCAAGAGGAATGTGTGGGTTCCAGTGTCTGTGCCATGGTCAGACATTATTTTGGTACAGTTTAGGAGAAACAGGACACTCACTAATTGTTCCTGAAAGATCCAAATTGGTGTTCATCAAGAAAATCATAGCTACTCCTACCAACACCAAAATTTGAAAGTAGAATATGTGGCCTCAATTCTTTACAATTTGCATTCAAAACATTAATCCCCTTTATGACTAAAGTAATATTAACATGGCATGAGTTAGCTTCCTCTTAAAAAGAGTACATTGTATTATAAAACAAGGGTGGAGATTCTCAGAGTTTGGGAAATAAACTATTTTCTGATGATGTGTATGGCTGCTGAGTGTTTTTGTGAAACAAGAGAAAGTTCTAGATAGTTAGTGATAATAAGACCAGTAGCTATCTTACCCCATGGAGAGATTTAGATTTCCTTTGGTTTTTCTTAGTCACCTTCACAACATCTGCTTTCTTACAAAATTGAGGAATACTTGAAATGAATGAATGAGTGAATGAATGAATGAATGAATGAATGAATGAATGAATGAATGAATTTGAAAGCCTACAGGAAAATGCATTTGAGAGACAGTTCCTTTAAAAAAATCACTGAGAGAATAGAGATGGAAGAAGTCTCTAACTATACATATTTCCTAGAATGACCTGGAGGATATTGGGGTAAAACCGACTCTTGGATTTTGCTTCCTTAGAAGCCATTCTCCCATTTTAAAACTCAAAGTAGTTGAGTTTAGCCTCCTGTATATAAATCTGGAGACTACACTTTCCCTGGTCTTTGGACTCCCCCCAAACTGCCAAGACCATGGGCCTGGAAGTTTTACATGTCCACGCAGAATAAAAGTTTTCCCCTAAACTTCTTAACTTTACCTTCCCTCCCTAGTCTGTATGTCCCAGCAGATTTAAAATCAAGTGCTGACTGAGCCTGCAACTTTCCAGCCCCAGGTGTTCACTCAAAATCTACATCCCAGACAGCTTCAAGGTGGCTAGCCCCAGTGGTCCAGCCTCACAAACTTCTCCAAAGCTGCCTGCACTTCGCTAACCCCAGATGGTCCCACAGTGCCTGGACAATGAGTAAATTAGGCTGCTCTCCTCCAAACTTGACCAGCATCCCAGCTTTCCTGTCCTGCCCCTCAACAACAAGGGTGCCTCGGTGTCAACAGGAAGTACTCCTAGAGAAGAGTGTGCTGGCCCATATCATTTATTTGTTATCAGCGAAAAATGCTGAGATGGTAGGTTTCAAACCCTGGAACAAATGGCTGAGGTGCCTTTTTAATATAGCAAAGCAGAATCTGGCCACAAGTCTCCTAGCAGCCCCCAGGCCCTACCTGTTACAGGGCCCTGATGGCTGGCATACTCCACCACCCACCATAACCCTCTCCAACCCAGGGGCTGGACCACCATTCTCCCAGCTGCCTTCCTTTCCCTATACAATCTAACCATTTTGGTTTCCTGCCCTCTGTCTACTTTCTTTTGGGCCTCCTGGCTGCTGCACCAGGTTCCCCCATCTCCCATCCCCTCCCCCTTCACACATGGCTCAGGTTCGTGTCCACTCTGGACTCTCCCAAATGTCTCTACCTCTGGCTATGCTCTGCCACATATCTGTAATAAAATGTCTCCGATATTACACACACACACACACACACACACACACACACACACACACACACACACACAGGAAGACTGAATATCTAAGGAAAGGCAAAAACTAAGACTTCAGAGAAATGGAAAATGGATGATTTTGTAAAATATTGTGAGCAATCCCATTGCTGGAGGAAATGTTGACTGTTTTTTTTGTTGTTTTTTTTTTTTTGTGTGTGTGTGTGTGATTCTATAGAATTTAGGGTCAAGAAAGGCTGAACAGATGGAGCATATTTCACATATGGCTTGAAGTCTGGATTGTTGTAACTATAATCCAGAGCATGTCACTATAATGAAAGGGTCACTGTCTAATTCTATAACAACATTTCAAAATAACGGAGGAACAGAAAAGAAAACAAAAGGTATTTATTTACCTGG